GGGGAGGGACATATATTTAGGGACCGTTTCTGGCTCTTGAGCCACATTTTGTCCTGGCGAATTCTTGCGTGTCTCGAGCTTCTATCAGGAGTTCTCTGCCCGTCATTGGACTGTCTCTTTTTCTTGGAGGGGCAAGGTGGCTATCATTTAAGACATTTTTTTTTTTTTTTTTCATTTATTTAGTTCTACGCCCTGTGGCTAGGTACCAGGGACAGACCGCTGGGGAAGACAGACACACAAACATAAAATTCAAATGTATTGTTAAGGTGCTATAATAGGAGGTTAACTAAAGTACAGGAAGATAGAGCCAGGAGGCGGTGCTGTCACCCACATTAGGGATTGCCTTTCAAGGGGAAGGTCCCCCTTTCTCATCTTGTGTGGAGGCAGAGTAGATCTTGAGCTGTCTCCTCTGTAAAAGGAAGGATCTGGAATAAATGCTTTCTAGGCTTCCTTCCAGCAGATGCCGCGTATCAGATATTACTAATGGTTCTAGTTCTCCCACAATCCAATGTTTATTGGTTAGTCAGAGTATTCATTACATCTTGTGATGTAGCATAAATTGCATAGGGTTGGGAAATCTGGATTTTGGCCCTCATTCAGGTGCCCTAGATCTGTTTCCTTATTTGTAAAATGAAGGGGATTGTAATGAAATAGTCTCTAAAACTCCTTCCAGTTCTAATACCATGATAGTCAGTGGGTCAAACAGTATTTCGTACTGCCTTGTACCAGATGTCACTTTCACGTTATCAGTGCAGTTTCCTCGTTGGGATGATTGAGAGAGATAGTGTCTTTTTTTTTTTTTTTTTAATCCCCTACCTTACTTCTGCCACAGTGTTGGGTACACAGTAGATGCTTCATATAAGCGTATTCAATTAAAGGGGATAGAAGTTATAGCTCCTGCTTTTGGACTTCCCCACTCTGGAATATTAGTTCATACATGAGAGGACGGAGGAGGAACTGGGTTTTTACTAGGGGGACTTGAAGTTGACATGACAGATTTAAACCAGATTTATGGGGTAATCCGCCTGAGAAGGATAATGATGTAGGCAGGATATTTACTGCCATTTCACTGTTCAGTGCTGTTCCACCTGTCTATCTGCAGGACCATGGCCAACAGTGAGCGCACCTTCATTGCCATCAAGCCTGATGGGGTCCAGCGTCAGCTTGTGGGAGAGATCATCAAGCGTTTTGAGCAAAAGGGATTCCGCCTTGTTGCTATGAAATTCATGCTGGTAAGTGGACTTCATTCTTCCTACTTCTATTCTTTTGTAGGATAGGGAAACATTTTAGATTAGTTTCTATTTCTCCCCTCCCCTTCTTCATAGACTTCCTCATGTAAGGTAAACACAAATGCCCTGAAACCTGGAAACTCTTCAATGACCTAGCATCATGGCTGAGCCTTTTTTTTTTTTTAAATCCTCACCTGAGTATATTTTTTAGTTGCTTTTCAGTGAGAGTGGAAGGGAGGGAGAGAGAAACATTGATGTGAGAGAGACACATTGATTGGTTGCCTCTCGCATGAGCCGCGAGCAGGGCTGGGGATTGAGCCTGCAACTGAAGTACATGCCCTTAGCCAGAATTGAACGAGGGACCCTTCAGTCCACAGGCCAGCACTCTAACCACTGAGTAAAACTGGCTAGAGCTGAATCTTGAAACAAACCAAGTTATTTGGGATTTTAGAAAATAGCCTCTCTTTTCCCTTAGCAATGCAGAGTTCCATATTTACTGCAGGACTGTGATTACTGACTCAAAGCTCTGGGCATGTTTTAGCTCTGCTCTTGAGCTTCCCGAGCAGATTGTGTCAGAGATTTCTTTCTTCCCTTTAAGGGAGGTTGTTTTCGTCAAGGAAACCTTTCTATCATAATTTACCACTCATTTAGTTTCTAGCATAGATGAGGCACCACTGGGGCGTGTGGGGGAAAAGTGTGGTTATGCCCTTGGGGAGGCCCACCTGAAACAGTAGAGAGAAAATGCTCTTGCAAGACACCTGCAAAGCAATATTTCAAGAAATGCACAGGATTGGTTGTCCAAGAATCCTCCTTCAAACTAACCTGGGAAAGGAGAATTCACATTCTCAAAGAAAATATTAGGGGACAATCTTTTTCTCTATTAAAAGATTCAACTTTGGACTCTCTTAGTACATCTTAAATTTAATTTGATTTGCAATTTAGTTCCTTTGTGATGTTTAGAAAAATTGCTTTAATATTAAAGGGAGCAGACTGATGTTAATGCTGAGGGGAGAGCACGATGGATTGATTAGAGCCAAGTGTTGGACTAGCAATGCTTTCCAGAGAGTTTGCATATTATGTTAAGTTTGAAGGTAAAGTGAAGTCAAAGTATTGTTGATTGGACATTTACCATGTGCTGGGCACATGTGTTTACTCACATAGCCCTCATGACAACCCTGAGAGGTACTTATTCCATTCCTGTGGTTGTTAGTGATGAGGAACCCGAGACTTGGAGGTTAAGTCACATGCCTGAAAGCACTGTCAGTGATGCAGCTGGGATTTTAACTCGGGTCTCTCTGACCCCTAGGTGCATACAGTTTCTCCTTTCCACTGTTTCCTAACAAGGATATGGGCTTGGTGAAGAGTGGGAGGAGGGGTAGCTGCCATGAGCCTGCAGGGTTATTTGAATCTGATATGGAGGAGATGAGGAAAACGTGAGGCTCCCCCCACCCCCCAAAAAGTCTGTGATCTGTTTTGCAGACTAAAGATAATAAGAAGCAATGAATAGAATAAAAGAGTGTTTTGGTAAGGGAAGGTCAAGCCAGTGTGTGTGAGAAAACTACCACAAGCCTTCAATTTAGATAGGGATGGCGAGGGTGACTTGCTAACATGGAATGAACACATGACTGTGTAATTTTACTTTGGCAAGTGACCATCTCAACAGGGACTGAACATTAGGATGTTCTGGATGTGCTTTTCAGCAACAGATCTCCACATTTGTGTGCATCACTGAAGGGTGCAGTATACCTCGTGAAGGGCAGTACTATGAAACAAAACTAGGGGAACTTGTTAGCCCCTTAACTAGTATATATGAAGCGGCAGAGAGAGAACACAGTTGAGCCGAGTTGGAACTGCTAAGCAGATGATTTGCACTTTAGCTAAATTGACTTGTTCCCACATATCAGCCTTGTAATGAGAGATTCTAACTCCTTCTTCAACAAAATTATTTATTGCTAGATGTTGTGAACTTTTGGGTGGTTTGCAAATACCGGTGAGAATTGCATGATCATCACCGAGGACCTTTAGCCTCTGAGTTGATGTGAAGTATCCCTGAGAAATGGCCTGGTTCATTTCTCCTCTCATCAAATGGCAAGACTACCTCCCTCACTTTCCTCTAACATTTTAGTTGAGACTTGCTCTGGGAATGGAAATTCATTGCATTGTTAGATTTCTTGTCTGAAATGAAATGGCTGAATATGATATGAATCCAATATTCTGTAGTTTTATTTTGATTAATCAAGGCCAATAGGGGGAAAATTGGTACAAAGCTGAAGAAGCACTTTTAGTCCTGGTCACTGCTCCCCTCTGGTAGTGTTGAGAATGAATTGGGTTAGAACAGAATTAGTGAGCTGAGAGTTCATGCTTTAAACTGCAGGATGGGTAAGTGGGAAATAACCACTGGTTCTTAGTTTTGGGGGCCAGTTCTCATTCTCTGCCTTGTGGAATAGGCTTCTGAAGACCTTCTCAAGGAACACTACATCGACCTGAAGGACCGTCCATTCTTTACCGGCCTGGTGAAATACATGCACTCAGGGCCAGTGGTTGCCATGGTGAGTGCGCATGTGTGGGGTGTTGATGTGAATGACTCAGTTGAGAGTGAGTGTTACGATTCTTGCTTCTGATGCCGGGTCCTCATTGATGCAGAGGAAACTGGGGCTGAGAGGACTGGACTGTTAAGATATGAGTCAGCTCACTGATCCACGAAAGACAAGATACATCTGCTTGCTGAACTGAAGACTCATAGCTGGGCGAGATCAGGAGGGCTCTGCCTGATTATAAACTTCTGGAGGGCAGGACTTATTACAGAAATTCTTCTTCAAATATGTGTTGGTAGTCATCATTCTGCCAGGCTCTTTCCTAGACACTGGGGATGCAGTCATGACTGAGACAAAGTAGGTGTCTGTTTTCATAGCTTTGCTTGCCTACACAGCTTGAAAGGGAGGATGAGCAGATAATGAAACTACACCTCTCTATCTATCATCTATATCTATCATCTATCTATCTATCTATCTATCTATCTATCTATCTATCATCTATCTATCTTTATCTATCTATCTATCTTTATCTATCTGTCTATCTGTCTATCTATCTATCTATCTATCTATCTATCTATCTATCTATCTATCTATCTATCATCTATCTATCTATCTATCATCTATCTATCATCTATCCATCTATCATCTATCCATCTATCATCTACCTACCTACCTATCATCTACCTACCTACCTATCATCTATCTACCAAACTGTGTCTATCTAGCTATCATCTATCATCTCCATCAATCATCTATCTAGGTATCTATTTGCTCAATGAATGAATGTCATATTAAGGGGGCTTTTCACTTGTCTTTTTTTTGAATTAATAGTTTTCAGATTTTTTGCTGAGATTGGTTTTCTTCCTTGACCATATCTTCTTTTGTCCTTGGAGGTCTGGGAGGGACTGAATGTTGTGAAGACAGGCCGAGTGATGCTTGGGGAGACCAACCCAGCAGACTCCAAACCCGGGACCATCCGAGGGGACTTTTGTATCCAAGTTGGCAGGTAGGAGTTGGTGCTTTTTACCCTTTTCCAAAATCTGAGTTGCCCTAAGAATTTGGGTTCTTGTGGCTAGGGATGGACATAGTACCTTACGCAGATCAATTTCAGATCAGTTCATTGTTTTTCTCTTAAGTTGGTGTTTGGCTTTGTAGGCTTTCTACCTTTGGTTGTCAACATCACTGTGTTTGTGCCCCTGATGAGAGGGGAAAACCTGGTACACTTTGCTGGCCAAAGTCCTTCCTAAGGCTCTTGCTGCTAGCATCAGAGTTTTTAGGAAGGCGGGATATGGAGAGGGCATTCTTTTTTTTTAAAAAAAAAAAAATATCTGTATTGATTTCAGAGAGGGAGAGAGAGAGAAACATCAATGATGAGAGAGTCATTGATCAGCTGCCTCCTTCACGCCCCCCACTGGGGATCGAGCCCACAACCCTGGCATATGCCCTGACCGGGAATCAAACCGCGATTTCCTGGATCCCAGATCAATGCTCAACTGCTGAGCCACACCCGGCTGGACAGGGAGGGCATTCTTCATCCTTCATTAATGGTAGTTGTGGGGTTTTTTTAAATCCTCACCTGGGGATATTTTTTCCATTGCTTTTCAGAGAGTGGAAGGGAAAGAGAGAGAGAGAAACATCCATGTGAGAGAGACATCGATTGGTTGCTTCTTGCACTTGCCCCATTCGGGCCCGGGGATCGAGCCTGGAACCAAAGTACATGTCCTTGGCTGGAATCAAACCCGGAACCCTTCAGCTAGGGTGGTGTTTTTCTTTGAACATGAACTAATGATACAGAGCTTTGGCTTTTTCTGCTGCTGTGGCCTGTAGGCTTTCTGGCAATGGGAGTGGGGGGCTTCTGGACAGTTTAACCCTTGTGGTGTTGGTAATGTGGCCATTTCTTTCCCCATCCAGGAACATTATCCATGGCAGTGATTCCGTGGAGAGTGCAGAGAAGGAGATTGGCCTGTGGTTTCGGCCTGAGGAACTGGTAGATTACAAGAGCTGTGCTCAGAACTGGATCTACGAGTGATGTGAAAGCAGCCGACAGTGCCTTTCCCACTCCATTTCCTGACCCTCCCACGGCAGGGGACCAGACTGTAGCTGATCTACTTATTTCTGAGAACTTCCTTATAGTCTGGAGGGATACTCTTGGAGCTGTGAGTGTTCCCTGTACAGTATTATGTGCTAGCATCAGATTAAAATATTCCACCCCAACTAGTATTTGTCGAGTTGGCTACTTTGTGTTGCTGTATTGCTTTGCATTCTTTTTTTCTTTCCATGGACTCTGGCTAACCTGAGCTAACAGAGTATAAATACTACATAAATTATTTATATTGGCCTGAGAGATCACACATACACACACACAATCTTTACCTGTTCCTTTCCCCCCTGCATCCCATCCACCTTTGTCACTGAGCCAGTCAACGGGCATCTGCAGAGGATCTGCTAGGTTGTGTGGGGGAGGAAGAAACTTTCCTCTGCCCTCAAAGTTCTTTTGCCTGCTCTAATAATCAAATAGACATGTGCCCCGAAAAAAAAAAAAAAAAGGCATGTGACAGTTTAACAAGAGAAAATAACCAAATATAATTACACATGTATGGGAACCCCACATACATGATAGAGTCAGAGATCCCACATGCATAAGAGTTTCAAAGACAGAAGGGAAAATGGGTATATATGACATTCTGAGTTAGGGATAAGGTGAGGCATCTTGGGGCTTCAAAGGTCACTGCAGGGAGAACACATGTTCAGGAATTAGTTTGCCCTGCCAACAGGTAGGTCAAATGAGGTCATCTCTGAAAATGTCTTATTATGGGCAAGGCCCTTAATTCAGTTCTAGGTAGTTAAGGCAGAGGCAGAAATTTCTCTTGAGCCTGCAGCTAAAGTTGCCTTTAGCTCAAAACAGTTCACATACCACAGAGGCACATCTTGGGGTAACTCATTCTGAACCCCCCATAGTTGCCAAGACTGTCCTGGGGGCAAAGGATTCATTGGAAATGAAAGGTATCCTTTCTGCTCTTTGAGAAGCTGTCAGGGACTCAGTGAATGGGGGAGTGGGAGAAGTAAGTACACCAAAACAGACGAGCTACGTGGATAGTGGGCCTGGTTCCCTGGGAGGGCCTCAAAAGAAGCAGAAGAACTCTTGTAAATAGCTCTGATTTGTTAGGACGTTGATTTGGTTGCTTTAACAGAGACAAGATGGAATTTACTTACCTTTTATTGCTGGAGATCTAATGTACAGTGCTGTGACTGTAGTTAATAGTACTGTATACTGTACTGTTTAGTTGAAATTTGCTAAAACCAAACCAAACCAAACACACACACAAAAAGACCAAAAAAAAATTTGTTAAGAGGGTAGATCTTACATGTTTGCACTGGACACCAAAAAAAAAAAAAGTAACTATAAGTAATGGTTATATTTGGTGGTGATCATTTCACAGTATATACAGGGCTGGGCAAAAGTGGGTTTACAGTTGTGAGCATGAAACAATGTTTATAATAATTATTGTAATAATCATAACCTGCATATCTTTTTCCATATGAACAAGTGTAAACCTACTTTTCCCCACCCCTGTATGTTTATCAGAACATCTAATCGTATATCTTAAATACATACAAATTTTACTTGTCAAATACGCCTCAATAAAGCTGAAAAAAGAGTAGAGGTAGGGCTGGTGATAGTGCTAAGGCTACCATCCTGGAGGTTGTCCAGGGACTCAGTTCCAGCAAGAATATGAGAGGTGAAAGGCAGAGGTGGTTACTGAGCCATAAGGAGGTATCAGTAGTGACCAGACCAGCGGCAAACAGCTCACCTAAGAGTACAGATTATAAGTACAGTGCCAAGACCACTGGGGTGATTGACACCGTTCCCGTCCTCAGCTCACGGCCCTGAGGACAGACACGGGGGTGGGGGGTGGGGGACTCTGACCGAGGGGCTCGCTGACTCCCCCAGGGAAGCTGGGCACCAACTACCAAAGGGTGGGGAGAGAATGTGGGGATTGTCTGCAAATGTGACAGGCCTGATTTCTGTGAGTCTAGAATCTTGTCAAGGGTGTGTCTCAGGATAGCCCGACCCCACTATCAGGCTGGGCAGGGGCAGGGAGCGTCATCTCCTGGGGCTGGGAAGGTGGGGGCGGGGCGCACTGTGGAAAGCAGGGGGTACCTTGCTAAGGGGTTGGAATGCCCCCTTCCAGGCAGGGGGGCCGCCAAGCAAGATGGAGCGTCAGGGGGGTGTCGGAGGAGGGCGCCCTGCGGGGGAGGTTAGGGGAAGGCCCCCCGGGAGGCTGCCAGTGCGGGCGAGGCAGGCGGAGGGCTCGAACCAGGGCTCCAGCAACGGGCAGGGAGGGGAAAACGGGGTCTCACCGCCGGGAAGGCTCGGGACTGGGGGTGCATGAGAGGGAGGAAAGAAAGCTCAGTTCTGGGTGAAAGCAGATGGTGTTGATCGGGGCGGGAACTCAAGACCAGGAGCAGGTTTGCGTGTGTGGGGGGGAGAGG